TTGTTGGATTACATATTGATAGACTAGGGGGATGGAGGTTTTGGATTGTATAGTTCTAACCTTGGTAAACATCAAGGCAAATACAATGGCAGTTGAGGATTGTCAGTTTTCCCTTTCCCCATAAATATTATGGCCTCCACTCATGTGTTTTTAAGCAGTTTCCCTAAAGCCTAGAGGTTGCATGTCAATTTTGGATGAAATAATTGTTTCCCTGAATCCCATGTGGGAAATACAAGGAAGATGAATATTTTAAGGAATGGGCTGGATCCAGGTCAGCAAAGGAAGTGGTCCCAGGATTGAGAAATATTGAGGAGAGACCCTCTGAAGAGTGAATGGAAGTTCCTCATGGGGCTTTGGGAATATCCTACTCCCTTACATGTACAAGGATTTGGGCCTCACCTTCCCCAGAATTCTTAGGAGGAAGCATCCAGAAAGGGTGAAGGATCTGCTATTTGTAGTTTGTATCTTGTTGGCTGGTGGCAGTGAATTATTTGGAGGAGGTAGGATTCTCCCACACTCATCTTGGGAGAATGCTAGCTTTAAAGCTTATGGTCCTAATGGAAGAATAGAAGGAAGTCTTTCTGAGCACTATAGAAAGAGTTAAGTGACAATGCTCCTTAACCAGGCTGTGCCCTGGGAATTTCTAGGCAACGTTGCAGCTCTAAACATTGTTTCCACAAATTCAATGTCAGAAGTCTGTGGGATCAGAGGCTTTCTGGACAGGCCAAGACTCAGAAGAATTCCTAATCTGGAGGGGAGGAGCTTGAAGGTTGGATGGGAGCCTTCCCACCTCTACAGAAATAATAAGGCTTTAGTCCTCTTTGACGAAATTGTGGTCCTAGGAATCTCTAAGCAAGGTTGTAAGTCTAAACATTGTTTCCACAAGCTCAATATCAGGACTATGGGACTTGAGGTTTTTGAGAAAAAAACGCGAAACCGGTTTATCAGGAGCAGTCTCAGCCTTGAGTGGGAGGAGCCTCAGAAAATAGCGGAGGCTTTCTCTGGACAAAAAGAGGTGTGGCCCATTCCATTTGCATAGACAGCTGCCCCAAAGGCATCCAGTCTGTTCCAGCTTGGTATTTGCTACCTGGAGCTTCCTGTCCGAAGCCTAAGGGAGGTAAGGCCTTTTGTGAGAGGGCTTAGTGGAGCACAGGTTCCAACCTCCGGAAATGTTGAGAAGAGAGGTTTAAGAGTGAAATAAGAAGTTGAGGAGGGATCAGACCCACATATATAGGGGTCTGCCCAGCATTCATCTCAGAAATGATCCAGAAAGGGCAAGTCGTGTGTTGTTCCCAGCTTTCACCGGGGATACTGAAAGCAGTAAGACATTGAGAGTGGGCAGAACTGGGTCAGCAGGGTCTAAGTCCACGTCTGGAGGAATGTAAATAGAGGGCCTTGGAAGGACATCGATGGAAGATTGGGAAACTTGGTGTGCAACACAAATAATAGGGGTGTGTGAATCCTTTCATGGTTGAGAGAGGCTTTTAGGGAAGGAGCTAAACTCAGCACATTGGAGGTACTTCAGCTTTGAGTGGAAAGGTGCTAAAGGATAATATGAGCCTTTTCTTTCCACAGAAAGAGGCATAAATAGCCTCACTAATGTAGGACCTCCAGGGAGACCAAAGGAAAATAGGTTCACGCTGTTTGTTTCTGCCTTCTGTGCCCAGAGTTCAAGGGAGATGAGTTTTTTGTTGTTGTTGTTTGTTTCTTTGTTTGTTTGGTCAGGTTGCTGGATTATGGCTGGCAGGGGAACAGTCCCAACTCCAAGAAACATGGAGGAATTTGGGGCCTACCTCTTCTCCTCAGATAGAAAGTGGTTGTTCCACTTTTTCAAACAGCATTCATCTCAGGCATTATGAGGAGTCTACTGTTTCTAGAGGTTTTTTCCTAAGAAAATAATGAACATTGTAGTATATTTTCAATTTCATTTTCAGTCCACATGAATAAACTAATTTTCAAGCCGAATATACAAAGATGCAATTTGAACCTTGAAAAGGAAGAACTTGAGAGAGCAACCTTGTTGCCATCCCCTCCGCTATAGAAATTGAGATGGAATGTCAGTGCTCCTTGCCCAGGAAATTTCTTATTTAGGCTCTAGGCCAGTGATTCTCAACCTTCCTAATTGTACAACTCTTTAATACAGTTTCTCATGTTGTGGTGACCCCCAGTCACAAAATTATCTTCATCACTTCTGTATAACTGTGATTTTGGTACTGTTCTGAACTGTAATGTAAATGTCTGATATGTGACTTGTGTGAAAGGGTCATTTGATCCACAGGTTGAGAAACATTGCTCTAGGCCATGAAATCTTTTGCTATGACCCTGAAATGTTCAGGGAATAAGAGAGGTAATAACTTGACTTCTGATACTGACTTGGATTTTTCACTTTAATTCCTACATGGAGAAAAATCAGGAATAGATCTCTAAGGAGGACTGGAAAGACTCTGAGTAAAGATTAAGACTCTACCTGACCTCCACAGAAATAGACCTCTGCCACAGTTTTCCTCAGTTCCTGTCTCTGTGTGACTCTAGGCAGAATGATCAATGGGGCATTTCCCTTACTTTATGCTGAGTCTTTTCAACAGGGTATTAGACACCAAACACCATGAGTAGTAGTTCCAGTCCTGAAGGACATGACTCTGGGTGAAGAGTCACAGCTTTTCCTTCTCCCACAGAAACAGTAGGGAAATAGTCCTGCTTGCTAAGGTATTTGCTTATTGGTTATTAAAGAAAAAACAGTAACCTGAAGGAGGCTTATGAGAACTCTGAAAGAAGAGAAGGATCCTCTGGGAGGAGGAGTGATACTCTCCCTTTCCCTTCAGAAATCAGTAGTGTTTGTTAGTCTTGCTTCTTCAGGCAACCATATCAGGATGCTAAGATTAGGTATCAGCAAGAACACATTTTAACCATAATTCTGTATTCATATCCCAAGAAAGATTTGTCCTCTCAGAAGGGGAATGTATTCCAAAAATCTGGGAAGGATTCTTTGCCTTGGAAACTATCCAAGAGATTGTTCCAGTGATGGAGCGCTGGGGAGAGTCTGACAAGGTTCTCACACTGATATTTTACAAACTGCTGCTGCTGCTCACTGTCCATCCTCTTCACAAATTTAATTTACTGACATAGTATACCCCCTCTCCATCTGCAGCTCCCCAGACTATCAGACAAAAGGGGAAGTGAGGTCCTTTACATCTGTAAGGGATGAGAATGATCCTAACTACTGCTCTCAGTCCTCTCTCAGGGTCTTTTTCTGCTCATTTCCTGAAGCTGGAATTCCTTACCTATAGAGTATAATCCAGCATTCTGTATACGAGCCTCAATTTCAGAGACCCAACATGGAACTCAAGAATCTGTAACAGTTCTTTTTTTTTTTTTTTTTTTGAGACAAGGTTTCTCAGAACTAGCTCTTGTAGACAAGACTGGCCTTAACCTCACAGACATCCTTCTGCCTCTGCCTCCCGAGTGCTGGGATTAAAGGCGTAAGCCACCACCGCCTGGCAACTTTAACAGTTCTTAATTATCTGGAGCATTCCAGGACAACTACCTGGCCAGTTAGGCATGGCTTCCTTTAATTTTGTGGTAGTAGAGAAGATGTATGTTTCTTACAGCAAAGCCTCACAAGTATTTTACCTTCTCACTGCTCTCTGTATTCCCAGGCAGTAAACATCTTCATAAGAAGAGAAGCCATCTGGAAAAGAACAATAACAGATCAAAAGAGAGAAAAATCTGTGTGGAGATCAGGTAATATTCCAGAATGAGGAGTGAGGACACAGTTATCTTCCTCTTTTGAAGGACAAGAAGTGTACTAAGCTTGACTATGTCCTCTTGCCATCTCCTAGAGGAGCTGTGTAACATGGTCTTTAGTGGTTCATATCCTATCTCTATGATCAAGTAACTGAGTGCTTGTTCTGGTGTGGGCAGACCAGGGACAACAGAGGAAGAATGCTGAAAGTTGTCATGATAAATAATGGAAGATCTTTTGGCAACCTGAATATGCCATGCTTTGTTGATACCCACGGGAGGCCTGTCTCTCTCTGAACAGATACAGAAGAGGAGTAGATTGCGAAGAGCAGAGGGGAGGCAACCAGAGGACAGGAGGGAGTGGAAACTGCAGTTGGGTTGTAAGATGATAGATAGATAGATAGATAGATAGATAGATAGATAGATAGATAGATAGATAGATAGATGGGTTGGTGCATAGATAAAAAGGGAAAAAGGAATGAAAGAACCTCTAACCTAGAAGAGTTATGATCCCTGCAGTTTGGCTGGTACTTTGTTGTCATTCAGGTTAGCCTGATATGGTTTTGAATCGTGCTCCATCACTTTCTCTTCATAGTATTAGCAATGTTAAGTTTTGTCCTGTGAATTAGACCTTAGTCTACCAGATGGGTATAATCCATCTCTTCATGGGACAAAGATAACCACAAAGGGGGTCTTTCACTCCACAACTGTTCAGAGTTTAGCATGGACAGCACTGAGAAACCACTGCTCCACATTGTTGTTTGTTTGTTTATAGCCTGGACAGCACTGAGAAACCACTGCTCCTTATTTAGTCAGTTTTTTTCAAGACAGATTTTCTCAGCAAAAAACATTTTCCTGTCCTGGAACTCATTCTGTAGACCAGGCTGTCTACTTTTATTTTTAACCTAAGGATGATACCACCTAGTTTTCTATTACAGAGCTTCCAGGGACTATAGTGAGAACTTTGGGATTAATTTTGTGTTTTCAAAATCATAGAACAAAAGAGATCCTGAAAGTGTCAAGAGTCCAAGAGTCCAAGTGGTGTATATACCTCCATATACACAAACATTGTACTGCAGAATACAGGGACCCCAACACAATTCGTCCTACATACTCTTGTATGTGTACTCCCTGAAATCAGACTCTGACTTCTGGCTGAGCTCAAAGAACCTTTATCATTTTTTTCTGTAGGTTCCTAAAGGACAAACCAAATAGAAAGTCTGCAGAACTCTGTGGTTATACCATATCACCTGGAGAAGATCGGTAAGATGGCTTTTGTTAGAACCTTCATGAACAAATATTTCCCTTTGTGCCGGGTCGCTCTGTTTTTCTCTTACTTCCCCATGCCTGTGCAATCTCATCCCCCTTGACCTGTTTACTTTTCTGTCTTCTGCCTCCAGAAAGCAAAATAATGTCTCGCTACGGAAAGCACCCACGCCTCAGCCTGGAGCAAAGTGTAAGCTTCCAGATCCCAGATGAACCAGATGAGTTCCCACTGGTTCCCACAGCCGAGAAAGAGGAGAGGCAGGAAGAAGAGGAGGTAAAAGAAGAAGAGAAAGAAGATGACAATACGCAGAAAAATGAGGAAGATAACAATGAGAAGGAAGAAGAGGAAGTAAAAGGGAATGAAGATGAAAAGGAAGAGTGTGGTGATGAAGTGGATGAGGAAGAAAATGAGAAGGAAGAGGAAGAATCAGAGATAGCTTCCATGTTTTTCTCATCTTCTAATGTTTCTCTACCAAGTTTCACCCCTCCTTCTCCTTCTTTCTCCTCCTCCTCCTCCTCCTCCCCCCCCCCCCCCTCCTCCTCCTCCTCCTCCTCAATCTTTTCTCTGTTTCAGAGCAACCTGGAGGGAAATGCAGGCTATGCTCCTGGGATACTGAGCATTTTTCAGAATGCTCAAAGCTTCTTCCCCTCATCTATTTTAGGGGTGAATTTAGATGAAACAAGCAGCAATGACGAAGAGAGTTCAGGTGCCAGTCAGTCTTCTGAAGATCCTGAAGCTCTGCTGGATGTTGTGATACAAGAAAAGGCTACTGATCTGGTGTTTCTTTTCATTTACAAGTATAGAATGAAGGAACCCATCACATTATCAGAAATTCATGAGGTTGTCACCAAAGATTATGAGAACCATTTTCCTGTCATCTTCATGGAAGCTTCTAAGTGCTTGGAGATGACCTTTGGCATTGATATAAAACAAAGTGATCTTCTAAGCAGTGCTTATGTCTTTGTCAACTCTCTGAACCTCACCTATGAGGACACGCTGAGTGACAATGATAGATTGCCTAGAAATGCTTTCCTGATAGTCATTCTGGGTGTAATATTCATAGAAGGGAACTGTGCTTCTGAAGAAAGAATCTGGGAATTCTTGAAGCTGGTAGGAGTGCATGATGGGGAGGAGCATTTCATTTGTGGGGATCCCAGGGAGTTCCTCACTATAAATTTAGTGCAGGAAAATTACCTGGAGTATCGGCAGGTGCCTAATAGCCAGCCTCCGTGCTTTGAGTTCCTGTGGGGTCCAAGAGCCTATGCTGAAACTACCAAGATGAAAGTTTTGGAGTTCTTGGCAAAGATGAATGGGTGTGACCCAACTGATTTTTCTGTCTGGTATGAAGAGGCTTTGAGAGATGAGGAAGAGAGGGCCTGGGCCACAAGGGACTCCGAAGATGGAAGCCCAACCATGTGGCTTGCAGAGCGCTGATTGTTAGTTTCTCTTACCCAGTGCGTGGGACCTGTTTTTGCATGGGCTCACTCTAATTTTGAAAAATGCAGCCAAAATTTTAAGTAAGGGAAAATCAAGCCTAGGCTCAGTAGAAAAGGTTAAAAAAATTACTAATTGGGGGTTTGCTTAGCTGTTTAATTTTGGATTAATTTTAAATGTTATTCCTTGTAAGTAGAATCTATGATTGAAACTGGTAACACAATTTTACTGTTTTTTTTTTCAAATAATGGAGTGGAAATTATGTAATGTAGCTTACTTTTGAATTGTTTTAAACCTATTAGTTTATTCTGTAAAATTAAAATGAAGAGTACATTTATTTACCAAGCTCATGTAAGAAAACAGGACATATTAATAAATCTTAATAAAGACTGCTTGCTGACTCATTCATCAAATATGAGTGAATCTTTTCTGTTGGGAAAATAATATGATATTGGGGTGAGGTGCAAGAAAAAATAATACACTTCCCTACAGAGGGAATAGCAGAGTCTGGAAACAGCTATCATATAAGGGACATGGTAAGATGTGTGTCAAGTCATAAAGAACAAATAGAAAGAAGGAACAAATGAGGAGGATGGGTTCCAGTTATCAGAAGTCAAATGCAAACATTCCAGAGCCTGTGAAATTTGTGATTTGGGAGATTAAATGCTTTGGGGTATATTTTACACTAAGCCATGAAAGGTATCAGAGGCCACAAGCTTGGTAAATCAAAACTAAGTGTTCTCCACTCAAAGGTTCAGGGATTTCCTAGGAATAAAACAGATGCATCCTTTGAGTCTGCCTACAAATTACCAGTGTATCATTATTTCAATTTCCCTGTGAGTCAGAGCCCTCTCTCTTACAATGCATTAAAGTTGGAGTTCTTGACAGCCATTTGTCCAAATTCAAACATCTTCAAGAAAATAATGACAGTGAACTTACTGTAGACAGAGAATGAACAGTCAGGAGAGGAGAAAAGAAAAAAAAGCTAGTTTTTAATTTAACTCTAGGGGTTTCCAATTTTATTAGCTAAGCATGCCAGACTTATCCCCCAAATAATATATTGTCTAAAAGGGAATGTATGAATTTTAGTTGTAAAGTTTTTTTTTTCTTGATTCGGTATTTTTTCCCTCCTTTAGTTGCATTTTTAAACACACTCTGGTTAACGACATCAACAAAACCCAGGGGAGAAGATGGCAAAATTTATTCTCAAATTAATATTCAAAATAACTTACATTCATTTAACCAATATATTTGAGCAGGATGCCAGGTGTTCTATGGTCACTGCATTCTCACTCTGGTACCACATTTCTCAAACCTGCTTCTGAGAGAGCAAATGAAGGCATCTGGTTCTTTATAATTATCCAAAGATGAGGCACCTGGTATATGCCAGGGTTGGACAAGAGTCTATCTATACCTCACTTTGTTCCCTATCTCCAACCCTAAGGTAGATCTTTGGATTATTACTTCATTTCTTGCTGTTCCAAAGTGTCTCACTTGACCAAAAAATGCTGTACAAATATTTGAAGCATAAATGGAGATAAAAATTTCTCATTTCTTTTCACAGTAGTGTTAGAGTTATCTTGACCTTATAACCAGAACGTTTTTTAGCTGTGTCCTTGGAAGTAAACAGCATCTCCCATCAACTGTCAAATTTACTGGTATTGAAATTCAAGCCTCCAGAAGCACTTTATCATTCAAATAATCAGAAAATTAGTCTTCACCCATAGATTGTTATATTTTTGCAATAGCATGAAGATTGTTAGGGTTCCTATGGATGTGACTTAAAAATTAAGTATACCAATAGAAGCTTCTTGCCAAACTGAGCAACATGGATCTTCTCAGAAAATCTATAGTCAGTGTATAAACAAACATAATCTGAGAGGCTACTGAAATATTCATAGGAGAAAAAGTCCTGAAATCCTCAGGAACAAATGCAAAGTTAATCCAGAGCCCAATAATATCTCCCACTCAGTTGTGATACTAGTGTTCAGTATAGCCTGAGGATGTGTCCAGAGGAGAGGGGGTGAAGAATCTTAGTAAGGACTGTGGTTGTGATACATGATTCTTTACTGACCAGGCTTGGTGTATCCTTGAATTTTCAGTCCAACTTTAGGATTCAGTAGGATCTGAGCATGCAGGTACAAGGAGTGCCCCAGAGATGTTCTAGATATTATGTGTTGCTGTACAATACCACTGTGTATTGTCACAGAAAGCCAGTTGTGTCTTCTGGAAAATTCTGAGTAATCCACCTCCCTTGATCACTCTGACAAGTGTCTGTGGTCTACCAATGTTCACTATGTATGTATTCATTCTTCATGATGCCCAAAGCTACAAAACTGTTAATAGGGTAAGGGCTACATGGCCTGTAATTTAAAAAGGAAAGAAAAAAATTCAAGTTCAGTGAATAAAAGTGTTTAGTTTGGGGATGAAGAATTTAAATGAAAATTCATAAGGATACTATGTTGAGGGAAATGCATCTGGGAATATCATATAGATGTTCTTAGAATTAACCCCTTTAATTCCTAGATTTTGTCAACTCGTAGGTAATTATTTTAAGATTGTCACTATTGTTTTATATTGCTACCAGATATTATATGTGGTATTAGCACAAGGTATAGTCATCTTATTCAGCATAGATTTAAAACATATGCAGACAGAATAGATCCCTTTTCTAGCAACAAAAATATGTAGTTTGAGAAACAGGGAGCTCCATGAATCACACTTTTGAAAGCACCTCCATACTGAGAAAATGTTCAGCTGTGAGAAAGAAGCATACAAATGGCACCATGCCCTTGCTCCCCATGAAAATGCTGAATAAACAGATCATTGGTAACATTTTGATTTTCTACCAAGGAAATGAAAGACCCAGGTAAAGCTCAGAGTCTACATTTTGATTCAACACGTGGAACATCTGCAATTTTATGCATTCATTCCCTCACACATTCTTTCTTTCATCAAATACTTACTGAGTAAATGTAACAAAAATAATGAAAGACAGCATAGGATTATAACTAGACATCTAACTGAAACAGCACAGGGAAATGGGCAGTCCTAGAGAATTTGAGGAAATTCATAGCATTGAAGTGGTGGTAACTTGTACATACTACCAACTAATCTTTCATAATTAAAAGGAAAAAGTCTTTTAAACATTCTTTCTGTTGATTCTTTCTGAATTTCACATCATACATCCTGATGTCACTCATCTCCCTGTCTCCCTTCTTTTGACCTCTGCTCTTGGAACCTCCCCCACAATACAAAATTTAAAGGTAAAACCAACAAAACAAATCACAAACAAAAACAAAATAAAAACATATGGAGGTGGTTTCAAAAGTGTGATTTATGGAGCTCCCTGTCTTGCAGCAAGAACAACAACAACGAAACAAATAAGAAAATCTCAGTGTGGAAGCTGAAGTGAGACACAGTGAGTCACACAGTATGCAGTTTAGTCCAGACATCTTTACTTGTAAGTGTTCTTTGCAATCAGTCATTGGTCTGGTTGACGCCACTAAAAAAGTACTATCAAATTTAGCCATCAACATAAATAATGGATGATCCAGTATAAGGGAAATTTATTCTAGGAATTATTTATTTTAGCATGACAAAATAATGTATGAGCACCATATAAAATAATATATAATAGTTAAATTATTGAGATGTTAATGATAATGGAGTACAAACTGCCTCCGTGTAACCCAGTAAAATAGAAGAGTCCGAATATCAAAAAAAGAGAAAAAAGAAATATTCTAAAGAAAGAAAGTGAGGTAGAAACCTCAGAAATTCACAAGTTGTTGACAAGTTACCTGAAAATTGTGTAGCAAAACTGTGGTGACTCATGAAAAAAAAAAAAAAAAAAAAAAAAACAAGAAGAATGTAGCTCCAGACTCTTGATTCCCAGTTAAAGATTCCTCCAGAAGTTAAGCCAGAGAGGCCTGAGGATAAGGATCTTGCACTCATTCCTGCCTGCAAGAGAAGTCCATAGTCTTTCAAGACCCAAAGCAGATGCAGGTTCTGGTGAGTGAGTAATCATGTACAGGTTGGTCAGCAAGGGAGAAAAATTTCATTATGTCTTTCTCTGTAACTGGAGAGAACAGAATGCAAGGTATCTTGAGAGATAACTTATCCTTGGAAACTGAGCTACACTGGAGCCTCAAGGAGGACCAGTATAAGATTAGAAGTTGATATGCAAACGACTCTAGGGTGAGAGTTTGCCCAGGGATGTTACTGTGGAAACAAACACTGGCAGAGATTTAAAATGTCACATAGACTCAGTGCAGAAATAGTGTTCTTTTTTTTATTGAAAAATTTCCACCTCCTCCCCGCCTCCCATTTCCCTCCCCCTCCCCCCACTCCTCCCCCCCCTCCCTCTCCAGTCCAAAGAGCAGTCAGGGTTCCCTGCCTTGTGGGAAGTCCAAGGTCCTCCCCCCTCCATCCAGGTTTAGGAAGGTGAGCATCCAAACAGGCTAGGCTCCCACAAAGCCAGAACATGAAGTAGGATCAAAACCCAGTGCCATTGTCCTTGGCTTCTCATCAGCCCTCATTGTCCGTCATGTTCAGAGAGTCCGGTTTTATCCCATGCTTTTTCAGTCCCAGTCCAGCTGGCCTTGGTGATCTTGAGAGGACAATAATCAACTTTATATGGAAAAACAAAAAACCCAGGATAGCCAAAACAATCTTATACAATAAAGGAACTTCTGGAGGTATTACCATCCCTGACTTCAAAATCTATTACAGAGCGACAGTATTGAAAACAGCTTGGTATTGGAATAAAAACAGAGAAATCGACCAATGGAATTGAATAGAAGACCCGGATTTTAACCCACAAACCTATGAACACCTGATTTTCGATAAAGGAGCTTAAAGTATACAATGGAAGAAAGAAAGCATCTTCAACAAATGGTGCTGGCATAACTGGATGTCAACCTGTAGAAGAATGAAAATAGATCCGTATCTATCACCGTGCACAAAACTCAAGTCCAAATTGATTAAAGACCTGAATATCA